TTTTTTTTTTCTTTTCTTTTCTGAGACAGGATCTTGCTGTGCAGTTCAGACTGGACTTGAACTCTCTTTGTAGCCCAGGCTGGTCTTGAACTTGCAATGATCCTCCTGCCTCAGCCTCCCAAGAGCTGGGATTACAGATTTCCTAGTCTTAACATGGAATAAGCACAATTTATTCCAAAGATGGCACACTGAAACTTAGCTCATGTTTACTCTTGGGTGTTTAAGTACTATTGGGCATTTCACAGCAAGAACTTGGCATCAGCAAATATGACAAAACTAACTCTAAACTGCTAGTGTTCCTGCTTTGCAGGGGATGGGCTAATACTGGTATGTTAGGTTAAAAGCTATCAATACTTGGGGCCCTGTGATGATTATATTTCTAATTCATGTACTGTACATCTATAAGTGAAAATAAAATGCTATATTCTTCTTTAAAAAAAAAAAGAGAAACAAGAATTGTTTTAGTCACTGTTACCCCACTAACCCACCAGCAATTTTCTTTTTAAAATTCTTGTCTTTCTAACCTTAGCCTTTAGACCAAGTCTTAGTTGTATGGAAACACAAAAGATTCCAGTAGGCAAAACAATTTTTTTAAAAAGAGAGAGAGTAGAAAATTAATAGATAAGACATTAGAAATCATACACAATTTCAAAAAACTGAAGATACTGTAGGTATCCAACAATGATTGTTGTGTAGCACATTGTTGTCTTCAGTGTAGTTGCTCAGATTACCAGGTATAACATGTAAAATTAGTCAAAAAAAATTTTAAGCATTAACTGCCATTTTCAAATTAGTAGTACAATCATTTTAGCTATCCTGTGTACATACATGTATGATTTTCTCCTTCTTTTTCCTCCCTTCTTTTCTCCTTTCAGTCATCCCATTTGTTCATTCTTTTTTTAAATTAGAAATCTCAAATTTACTACAAAGAATGAAAAATTCCACTTCCATACTAATTATATATTCAAACGCAAACATTTCTGACCAGTAAACAAAATACAAGTACCAATGCCAATGTTGTGTGTGTGTGTGTGTGTGTGTGTGGGTGCGTTTTGATTGTATTTACAAATTCATTCTCATTGTAAATAATAACCTTAGTTTCAGTTATGGTATTTAAAAACATTTTCCTTTCTACCACTTTTTGGTATTTTCAGAGTTTACAAAATGTGCCTTTTATTATACTTTTATTTGAACAGTATGCTTCCCCATTATCCTTTTTTTTTTTTTTTTTCGGAACCAGGGATTGAACTCAGGCCCTATCCATTTTCTATAGTAAAATATTTTAACTTCTTTTTTTTCAGAAAGCATTTAAAACATTTACCAGCTGGAAATACTTAATATTGGTATAAGTCATTTACACGGCTTTTCTTTAAATGCTGTAAGCTGTGTGAAATGCTAAATTATGGAAATAGTTGCTTGATTCATGCTATTTTCTTTAAAAGTGGCTGTTTTTCTAGGACTGCTTATATAGCAGAATATTTCTTTTTTCAATGGAGGTTAAGTACATCTCTTAATTGCAAAGACTGAATCAATTGATTTTACCAGGGGCCACAAAATTTTGGAAACATCTAATATGAAAAGTACCAGTGTTCGTATTAACACGATGTTACAGTTTGTGTCTAGTTGTCCCCAAAAGCCTCATGTAAGTTATGGGGCAGATGAGCCTGGAGGAGCAACAAGTGGCTTGAGGGGCGGGGCCAGAGGACCAGGGCGGGCCCGAGGGGCGGGGCCGAGAGGTGTGACCCGTTAAACTGGCTAGTAGCCTGTGCTTTCTCGAAGATGTGGAGAGGGTCATCCTGGACACGGCGGTGCCCCAGCTTCTCCTCCAGTGTCTTGAAACCTCCCGTAACTGTGAGCTAAATAAACCTTTCCTTTCTTCATTTTGAGTGCTGGGTATTTGTCCCAGCAATGGGAGAAGAGTAACTAATACACATGGCCTGTCGGACAAGTGACCTGTACAGAGCAAATGCAGCCCAGGGCCACCTCCAGAGGCTACCAGACGCTCTCTGGCGACCCGGCTCTAAGAACTTCCCAGGTGAGAAAGTGAAGCAAGCAAGACTTCCCCCCGCCCCAGAATATACTCTACACTTTTTACCCTTACAATCCTCTGAGAATTTTGATGGAAAATGTTCCTGTGGCCCAAGGAAATCAAGGTGATGACAGTGAGGACCCTCATGCCCATCTGCAAGTGTGACAGGTTTGGTGTAGTTCCTAACAATGTTCAACAGTGACCACTTTACAGCCACTGACACACCGGTGGCCCCAGTTTACTGGCACAAGCTATTTCCTTATGAGCACTTACATAGTAAGAACAATGTCCACATTTTCAGCAGTATTTACACAGTACATGAAATATGTTGTCAAACATCAAAGCAAAGGACCAGACCCTTGGTGTACAATTAATAATTAAGACTCCAGAGCATGAACCCAACCCCAGATTCAACCAGCCAGGGCCTACCGACAACCATCTTCTGGGAAACTATTA